ACTTTCTCAGCTGAGAGAATATTTAGAAGCATATTGTTGTCTTCCTCAGTGATCACCGTAATCATTAATTAGGGTAACTCCTCTAACTCTTTGGGATCCTAGGATGAATAAAGTTTAGAAAAGTAATCTATAAAAATATTGGTTACATCTTCATGTGAAGATTTCCAATTATTCTGCTTATCTTTGATTCCATCAATATGATTCTTTTCCTCCTAAATAAGGTACTTTTATGGAAAAAGTTTGTATTTTTATCTCCCAAATGTAACCAAGTATGGCAAGATTTTTGTCACCAATAACTTTCTATTTGCCACTTATAAGTTTCATACTCCTTGTACAGGCTATTCAAATTGTAAGGGTTCTCCGATTGTTCAGCTTGTAAAATTTGAGCTTCCAAATTTTTTAATTTATCCTTCGATTCTATGAAAGTTTTTCTCCTCCAGATAATTAATTGCTTCTTCATTATATCCAATTTTTAGGTTAGCCTATAAGCTGCATATCCATTGGTTTGATACTTCCAACCATCTTCTATAACTTGTTTACAAGAGCTATCAGCTAACCACATTTCAAAGAATCTAAAAGGCTTTGAAGATTTAGGGTCGGGGGGTTTAAATTCAAAATGAGAGGATAGTGGTTTGAGACCCATCTAGACCCTAAAGAAAGGGCTGCATTAGGGAATAAATTAAGCCAATCGAGGGAAACTACTGCACTTCAAGAGTTCTTTTGATGTGACCCTTCTTTTATTTGTCCAAGAGATTCATCATCCCTGAATGTTCAGTTCTAACAGGTTTTGTTCGAGAATAAAATTCCTATATTGTCTAGAGGTTAAAGAAGAGGCATGAGTAGAAGTAGAAGGATCTAGAGAATCCAAAGAAGCAGCTTCATTAAAGTCCCCTATTAGTAAATAAAGAAGAGACATAGTTTGTCACTAGACCTGTTCATGGGTCAGGCCGGGCCGGGCTTTTACTCTTCATTAATGGATATATGTTAGGCCCGAGCCCGAGCCCGGCCCGACCAATGGACCTACAACTTGGGCCCGAGCCCAGCTCTAATAAAAAGCCCAAAGCCTGAGCCTAAGCCCGAAGCCCGACCTAATAAAAAAATTAGAATGTTTCCCTATTCAATAATCAATATAAATTAGAATTTATTTACATTAAAAAAAGAATATAAATTTAAAATTTACTTACAAATAAAAAATTCTTTTTTATTTGACATATAAAAATTAGTTATTATATATAATATAATATTTTTATATTATTTATATACATATATGTGTGTGTGTTAAAAGCTTGACTAGATTTGCAAGCCTCACGAGCCGAGTTTTATTGGGCTCGAGCTCGACTTTATTAGTAAATGAGCCTATATATTAAACTTGAACTCAGCTCAAAACTCTGTTTAAACCAAATTGAATCAAGCTTGAATAACTCGTAAAAAACTTGACTCATGACCACCCCGACCAACACCTAAGTGGCATTGATGTAACTACATTTTTCCTATAAACATCCATAAAACCAAACATAGCCTTTATTTTCTCTAACATTTTGAATTTAGGGGATATAGGACCCATAATTGAGGGCCCGTAACCTGTCATCTGTCTTTGATTATATTACATCCATCCAAATTCTTTTATAAAATGTCTGTTTTTGAAATAAATTTTTTCACACCGGTCAAAGTTGTACTTGAACTTTTTGACAAGTATCTAAAAGATGTTCGAAGACAATCTGATTATACTAACTTTTGGTGGGGCCAATGTAATGAATAGTCCCCATCATCTAAATATTTGCCACGTGGAAAGTTAAAAGGGCCTAGAACACAGAACTCTAGCAATCAGTGGTATTGCCAACATCACCAATTCAGCCTACAGACAAGTGATGTTTGACAGAAGCTGCTTCTCACACCAACCTTATCTCCACTCAGAAATACGAAGCAGTAGTGTGCATAAACCATGCCTAATGCCTTTAAACCCAAAAACACCGTGACCCACTCCATAAATTGGAACTACGGTCCTGAGCAACACCACATGGGGTAGCCTTTCTTCTCCTTGCCTTGTGAAGGAGGTAACTCAGAARTCAGGACATTTTTTTAACTGTGCTGCACGTAATCACACAATGAATCCAATGAGGCAAAGGGTATCACTGCTAGTTAACCCAAACCCCAAATTCTTATGTCCAAGGTGGCTCAGTTGGTACGTTAGCCAGCTGGTCTGTTTTGATAAAGACACATATTCAATTCCTGCAACCATCTGACTTTGGGAACGGAGTTTTTAGTGTGGTGTTTTTTTTTTTTTGAATTGAATTGTATAGAAGATAAATAAAATTGGGGTGCAATATGAGGATTTCCCAGGAGGTCACCCATTCTAGTATTACTTTCGCCCAAGCACACTTAACTTCGGAGTTCTGATGGATCCGGTGCATTACTACCAGTATGATCACACCCTTTTTTAGTGTGGTGTTGTGTTCTTCAAATGGCCCACATAGGGATTCGGGCATATTGTCAAAAATACCAAAATATTTTTTTTGTCATAGTGCAATTTAACTAGTAAAATCATTAGGCTATGTTTAGTTTGAAGGAAAATATAGGGAAAGGAAGGGAAAGGTAGAGAAACCATTATAAGGTTTTTCAATGTGAGTGAAAGAAAATAAAAGGCAGAGCTTAGGTTTTTGTTTCTTGTACGATTATACCCTTTTGAAATTCATTTTACACCATACATTTGGAATATTGTGTGTGAAACCCATCAATTTGAGGGCCCACTTGAAATGATGCAATTTTGGAATGTTGTGCAAAACTCATCAATTTGGAGACCCACTTGAAATGATACAATGTGAAAAATCCAATCCATCAATTTGAGGCCTACAAGGAGAATGTTAGTTCTTTGGCACTTTGTTTAAATAGCTTCCTACACCAAATTTAAGCCTATAAAAGGCAAGAAACATGCTTTTTGATGTCTATGTAGAACACAAATACATTATAATGACTCTTTGGGTCCGTTTAGCTCATAGTTGAAATCGGAATTGAAATTCTTTTGAGTTGAAGTGGTTTATTCCTATAGTTTGTTTAATTCATACAAGAATAGAAATAAAAATTGGAATCAACAAAAATAGGATTTCATTCTTAAGGGAGAGGGAAGGAATGGCCATTCCCTCATATGACTCCAACAAAAATGGGAATGGGATTCCAATTCCATATAACCCATTTCAATTCTAATTTCAGACCCCTATTCCCATGAACCAAACGGGGCCTTAGATTTTTGAGTGGAAGTATCCATGACCATAGAAACATCCATTTGCAAGTTGGAACTTCTCTATGTTGGAGAAAGTGAAAAAAAAAAAAAAAGAAAAAGCACACTTTTATGTATTGTCACCTTACCATAGCAGTTTCTTTAAATGACAAAAGCAGAATCACTTGAAAGGGCCAGTTGATAACGACTCAGTGACTGAATTCATTGTTTTGTTTTTTAGTGTATATAGAAATAATTGACTAAGGGTAAAATAATTTACCCCATTTTGGCAATATCCTGAAGGTGTCAATTTGCTGCCAAGTGGCACAATTGGAAAGTAGAGACTTGGGATTGAATCCCACCTTCGGGCTTTTGGGTTTGGAGACAGGTTACTCTTGTGTAGTTTTATGCATGGTTTTAAAACCAGCCATTTTTGACTTAGGTGGTCGAACCACTCAACCCGGGAACTAGTAATTTATCTAGTTTTATTTAGCACATGACCCGGATTTTTCTAAAAACTCATTGAATTGATCAATGAACAGCTGACCCAGATGATTGGATCATTAAACCATTTGACCCGAACAACATACATTTTTTGGTCAATTTATTTAATAATGTCATGGGCTGATCTTTTTTCAGACCAGAATGGTCCAACCACTGACCCAGAAACTAAAGGAAAAACCAAATTCATATTCAAAATCTTGCAATTTCCACAGTAATGCTGGCAAGGGGGCAATGGCAAATTAAATTAAATTAAACTTTTCAGGTCATATAAGAGTTGGTTACTCACTCCAAAATGCATACAAATGTAGTTGGTGAGAGGTCTTTGAGTTGGTCGGTTACTTGTTAGCTGTTAGTACCTACCACTTACTAATTCCAATATGGTTCGACCGGGCCTAACCCCGATATTTTTTATTCAGATAAAAAGAATCCATCATCCACGTGGTCAGTTACAATCTACATTCGCTGCATGAAACAACGAGATCAAGGCCTTAGATGAAGTGACATTTTAGTGGGACCACTGCAATACATTGGTGGGACCGACCACTTAAAGTGAACTCGCTCAGTTAAATCCCTTACTTTATGATTAGATCCTCCTTTTACAGTAAAAGAATCTAATCCAACGGCTAAGATTGCGCGAAGACTGAAGACTCCCAATTCCTCCGGACCCCATGACGTGTCTAAATTCTTTCCCAACTCTGCCAGTCGCTTTGTCCCCCTCCGGACGATCGGAGGACGCGAGTCACGGGACTTCCTTTTCTTTTCTTTAATAAATTTTTGTTCCTTAAAGCTGTCATGAATAGAATCTCTTTTACTTGAGGAAGAAATGATTCACTGAAACCGGATTCGATCAATCAACCCGCGATCCCTATCCGGAAGAACTCATTTTGATCCTCGTAATTTCTTTCCTCAGCCGTTCGATCGTGGGACCCGCGTGAAGGAAGGTCTAACTTCTAAGGAAGACGGGATTGTTTCGGTCCTCCCACCACACTGGACCCAGGAGTCAAAGATAACTTTACCGCCACACGCTGACTGCAAACTTTGAAGCTTCGAACATCTCCAAGGTCTTTTCTTGTCATTAATAATAATATCTTGGTCGTGCGCGCTTGATGCAGGGATGACGTGGCAATAAATGGGCCCCACGCTTCAGAGATCCTCGTGCATACTGCATTACCGAAGGGGCGCATCGATTAAATACGCTGAGTGAGTGCTGACTGCTGAGTGGATACTGTACCCACATTGTGTCAATACGCGGGCCCCACCGTAATAATCTTTTTTCTCCTGCTCCTCATCGAATTGGCCTCCCCCCCCCTGCTCATGGCCGTTTGTCTCTCTCCTCTCGGCCCAGTAGTTTTCAGCGGATCCTCTTTGTCTTTTTCTCTCTGCTGCAACTCCTCTTTTCTTTCTCCTCCTTTTCTTTTCCCTGTTAATGGAGAAACAAAAGACGCTTTATCGATCGGCTTTCAGAGCGTCGAAAGTTAAAAGGAAGTTTTGAGGTTAGTAGCTCAGTGCCACTTTGAATTCGTCTCTGTTTCAGGTATTAGACCCCTTTTCTGTGCTTTCCTTTTTAAATTCGAGCATTTCCTTCAAAAGGGTGTTCTTTTTTTGCTTTCTTTTTTTCATTGTTTCCTTACTTTCTTGAATGCGTTTTTGTTCTAGGGTTTTAGCCGTTTACAGATTTCGTTTGAGTCGCGAGCTTTCGACATTATGATTGTGACAAATGGCGGTTTCAGCTTTCAGCAGTGGAATTTTTCAGTTGACTTGGATTTTGAGTGGAAGGTTTTTCTCTCTCTCTCTCTTTTTTTTTGTTTGTTTTGAATTAGTTCTAAGGTTTTGGCTGTAAATCTATCTCGGTTGAGTCTCAGATTTCTGCTGAATCCTTATATTTTGTTTGGACCCTAAAGAAAGAAGGTTTGGTTTCACCTGAAGTTGAAATTTAAGTAATAAAAGAAGAAGGTGAAAGGAAGAATCTTTAGATTGATTTGAGTTTTCTTCGCCATTTGAGAAGATCTTGGCAATTTTTCTTTGAATTTGAAGGTCTTTTAACGGATGCCTTCTGTTTGACTGTGTTACTGCAGCCTTGACCAATGACTATTTCTGGTCTTACTCTTAACGGTGAACGAGTCATCCATAAAGCCCTAGAAGCAATAATTCAACTTTTGCTGCGGTTAATTTGTTGGTCACGGCATTTTGCTGCTTCTTGTGGGCATTAAGTGGGTCGGGCTTCTTCTATTTTTGGTTGCTATGAGGATATAGTGTTATATAGTTGCTTTGTGGTTTATTTCTATTTGCACTAAAGCTGTTCCTTTTGCTATAATAGCTTTCTGTGAAGTTATGGATATATAAGCAGTCGAAACTGAAGACTTAGTTTGACAGCAGGTTTCTTAGTTATTATTGGAGAAATGGATAAAAATCCAGAAGAGAACTGGAAGGAGCTGGTAAGGAAAATGCTCCCGCCTGGTACTTCCATCCCCAATGATGAAGATGATCTCGATTACTCAATTGCCATAGAATATAAGGGCCCACCAGTCGCCTATGAAGTCCCTAGAGTTGAAACCGTGGATGTAAATTACCCCACAATTTCCATTGCATCAGTTGCGGAAGATCTCCTTGCATCTCAAAGATTAGATGTCTGTGCAGTCTCCCCAGTAGTCGAACCAATTCCTTTGCCCGTATCTCGTATTGTGGCTGTTACAGGTTCTCCAGTTCAAAGCCCCAGGGTATCAGGAAGCTCAGAATCCGTGATTTCTGTCTTGCAGAACCCTGAGTTTTCATCGGTTTCTCCTTCAGCTTCACCAGGTTCACCTGGTTCTGCTCACCAACCTCCAAGTAACCCTCCTAAGAAAGTAGCAACTGAAGTAAAGAGAGTTCCAATTGTTACTTTTAACACTATTGATAAATCTGAAAGGCTAAATGGTGAGGCTGAAAAGCGTATCTTTCCTCAATATGTGGGGGTTTCAAAGAAAGAGAAAAAGAAGAGAAAAAGAGTTTGTTTTAGATGTGGAAAAGGGAAGTGGGAAAGTAAAGAATCCTGCCTGGTTTGTGATGCTAGGTATTGCAGTAATTGCGTGCTCAGGGCAATGGGTTCAATGCCCGAAGGGCGTAAATGTGTCAGTTGCATAGGTCAGCCAATAGATGAATCTAAGCGGTTGAAATTGGGCAAGTGTTCAAGGGTATTATCTCGACTTCTCAGCCCGTTGGAAGTCAAGCAAATCATCAAAGCAGAGAAAGAATGTCCTGCAAATCAGCTAAGGCCAGAGCAGATTATTGTGAATGGAGTGCCCTTGAGGCCGGAAGAAATGGCAGAATTGCTTGGATGCCCATTACCTCCAAGGAAGTTGAAGCCTGGTAGATATTGGTATGACAAGGAATCAGGTCTCTGGGGAAAGGTGAGTGTATCTACAATTGTTCTCTTGATTTCTCCGCTGTTTTGTCCTTGGATGTCAATCAATTTAATTGTTACAGTAGCTGGACCTTTATTTATTTATTTATTTTTTGATTGGTTACAGTAAGTTGGAAATGATTAGATCATTTTGATACTTGACAGGAGGGAGAAAAACCAGATCGCATCATTAGTTCAAACTTAAATTTCTCTGGGAAACTTCGTGCTGATGCAAGCAATGGAACTACTGAGGTTTATATTAAYGGCCGAGAAATCACAAAAATAGAACTGAGAATGTTGAAGGTAGGCCCACAAATGAAACCATTGAAGTTTAGACCAATCAAGCAATGGAGCTACTGTAATGTTTGTTCTTTTTGATGCTTATGTGGTAGCAGCATAAGTATCCACTTGGTGCCACTTTCCCACTACTTTTCTTTTTAACTTTTTTTCCTTTTTTTTCTCTTTTGCCTCTTTCTGATGTGGAGCTTTGTTGAAGTTTGGTTCCGGTGCTACATACATACGCATATATATATATATATATATATATATATATATATATATATATATATGCATCTTTTTTTTTTTGATAAATGAAAAAGGGCTGAGCACATATATATGCATCTTCTTTCTACTGCTGCTTTTTTTGAGCAGTTTGGCTTTTTTCTCAATGAAATATTCTATTCTATAGTCTCTCTCTCTCTCTCTATATATATATATATATACTATAAAAAGTTTGAATAGCTTCCCATGTTTTTTGGATTTTTTTTGGACAAAAATATCCCTCATTTGAATTTGGTCATTCTATATTCTGAGGGCAGAAGTTGTAATTTGGATATACTTTTTAGTGCCTTTCATTATCTCTCATTGAATCCTATATTTAAGGTATTTTTATCTATCATCATCAAATTTCACTAATCAAATCCATGAACACTGATATTAATAATATAAAGCCTATATTTTTAAAATCAAGTAAAAACTAAGTAGCTCTACCCATTTGGGTCAAATAAGTGAATCCATGATGCCATAATTAAATACTAAAAATTTAAATAGATAAAAGTACATAAATAGAAAAGTTAGAAAATTTTAGGCACATCTCTAATATTATATATTTGTCATATTAAACAAAAATAGGTATGATAAATAAAAGGGAAAATTCCCAATTAATACCATGTACTTTGGGTCTAGTGTCACTTTGGTCCCCGAACTTTAAAATGCGACAATTCATTACCTGAACTTTCAAAACGTGACAACCTAGTACCTTCCGTTAACTAGCTGTTAATCAGCCGTTAAGTGACATTTTAAAAAGACAGAAGTGCCCTTTGAGTGTCATTAATTTTCTTTATCAACTATCCAAACATGACAAAAAAATTATAGTCCCAAATCCTTGTCTCTTCTATTCAAGAAAGTTGGGGTCACCAGAATGCCCACTCAAACGTAACCCCAACTTTCTTGAATGGAAGAAGCAAGGATTTGGGATTGTTAATTTTTTGTCAGCATTTACTAACCAAAAAAAAAATGTCAACATTTAGATTGTTGATAAAGAAAATTAAATGACACTCGAAGGGCATTTGTGTCCTTTTCAAATGTCACTTAACGGCAAGTTAACTGTTGATTAATGGCAGGTACTGGGATTGTCACGCTTTGAAAGTTTGGGTACTGAATTGTCGCATTTTAAAGTTCAGGGACCAAAGTGGCACTAGGCACAAAATACATGGTACTAATCAGGAATTTTCCCTAAATAAAAAGTACTTATTTTAATAATGGAAATGGGATATACAATTTAAAACTGATCCACAAATGAAACCATTTTCCTCCTTAAGTGGTGGGTCAATGGTTCAACTATTCAGATCATTGGATCAACCCATGATGTCATAGTTAGACAATATTTTTTTTAAGAAATGGAAAAAAAATGCATAAAATACAAAACTTTAGACACATCTCTAATATTATATATTAATTAATATTAAAAAAGATAAGTGTGATAAGCAAGAATTATTTTTATTGATGATGTAATGAAATACAAAATTTAAAACCAAATGAGTCAACCCATGTTGTTATAATTGAATAATAAAAATTAAAAAAAAAAAAAAATATATATATATATATATATAGAAATACAAAAAATAGAAAATTTGGCACATCTCTAATATTATATAGCCATCATATTAAAGAAAATAAGTGTGATGAATAGGAATTAATTTTATTGATGGTGGAAATGGAATACAAATTTTAAAGTTGTCTCAAAAAGGAAAATGTTTTCCATTCGGAGAATGGTTCAAGAATTCAATAGTCTAGGTTAACCCATGATGTCACAATTAAATAATAAAAAATCAAAATTAGATAAAAATACTAAAAGCTGAAAAGCAGAAAAAGTTTATAGAAAAATTAGGAGATATGCCTAACATTATACATTCATCATATTATACAAAAAAAATATGTGTCATAGTTAAATAATAAAAATTTAAAATTAGATAGAAATACAAAAGATTATAGAAGAAATTAAAAAAATCTAGACACATCTCAGATATTATTATTTTTATTACAATTATTGTTATTATTATTATTATTATTGTTATTATTATTATTATCTAAAATTGCCACGTGCAACGCATATGCACATTTACTAGTATATACATACATACATACTAGTATATGCATTTCCTTTCTATTTCATGATGAAAATAAAATGACAAAACAGACAGGATTAGCTAGATCTTTTTTTTTCTTATCCTCCTTGTATCTATGATGGTAATAATTAATATAACTTCTTCCTTTACTTTGGACAAGAGTATTGTTCTTGTTTAGGAAAATCATTATTATTTATGTCTAGTCCTAAGCAAGGTTTTAAATTTCAAAAATTTCATCCATTTTGGACCCTTGATCCAAATTGAAAATATTTGAAATAGAACTTTGAACAATTTTTTTGAGACATTTTAATAATTTTGTTAAGTTTTATATCATTTTATAATATTTTCATATTATTATTTAAATATTGTACTGAAATTTTGGGTGAGAGTTTGACATTTAATGATGAAATAAATTCACATGATATTGTTGATATATTATTTCAGCTGAAATTTTGGACATGCAAAATCTTTTAAAGTGCCAATTTTGGCTGGGTAATGATCAGAATTGCTCTGTACTTCTTAAATAGCTCATTGTTGCTAAAAATGTTAAAGGCACAAAGGGTGCATGTCACTGAGGTAAAATGACTAGGCAATGTACAAGGATTTTAGACTCCTATGTGAAGTGCAGCCTAGGTGATGCAGAAGCTAAATAATAACTCATTAAATTTTGGAATAACTCAGAGCTATGTATTTATGTTGAAACAAAGGGCTAAGATAATATATAAGGGGTACAGAATACTTGGACAAATTATACAAGGCCATTACACAATGTTGGTCTGTGTTATCATGGATCTTTGGAGGTATGGGCTTGATACACACTTAACCTCCATTTTTAGAACAAAGTGGTCAGTTCTGACTCAAAGACACATTCTCATGTTTTCCAGCCTGAGACTACCATTTCACCAAATAATAATCCCCACATAAACATATTTTATGTATCATATGGATATGATATATGTTACATACGGTCCATTTTCCTCCCCTAACCCTGGTGCAGGTGGGATCGATCCCAAGTCTCTGCTACAACCAACAGGGAACCTTACCAACAAGCTGGTTGGCACCTTGCAGCTCCATGAGCTTGTTTATGGGCTCATTTATAGTTTTTCTTCAAAAGGGGAGCGGAGTCTGTTTTCACTAGTAGGGCATCTTAGTTGTATAAAAGTTGGATAGGGGTTACTGATTTGGGGAAGAGTATGTAGATTGTCAGGTGAGTGAAAAGTTGGCGCTGAAGATTGGGGGTGCTGCTAGTTTTGATGCTGTTTGGTGACAAAAGGATTTTCTATTTAGGTTTAGAGTTTTTCCCATAATTAACAAAGCCATTAACAGTTAAAAAAGGATCTTTACCAAGAAAAAAGTAAAAAAGGGATAAGTGTGATCATCATCCACCAAAAAAGGTGTATGTGATAATCTCTAGCAGTCATTCACATGGACCACTCTGTGGTAAAAATTAACTTCTTTATTCTGCCTGTGTCAAATCTGGCATTTATATTTCCCAAGTTGAGTTCCACTTGAAAGGGAAATTGATCATAGTATGTAATGCTTTCAGTTGGCAAAGGTGCAGTGTCCACGTGATACACATTTTTGGGTCTATGATGACGGACGCTATGAAGAGGAAGGACAGAACAATATCAGGGGAAACATCTGGGAAAAGGTACATATGAGATAATTCTAGTGTGTTACCCTTTAGTTTCAGTAGTTGTCCCTGGAAATATGTGTAAAACAGTTAGAAATGTCTCTTTGCTAGACAGGCATCAACTCGGCTCGTATGTTCTTTGTTCTCATTACCTGTTCCCCATGGTCAACCCCACATGTCAAGGGATGAAGTTAGCAATTATTCTGCTGTGCCAGAGTATCTAGAGCAAAAAAGAACACAGAAGCTTCTTCTACTTGGACTTCCTGGCTCTGGAACCAGCACTATCTTCAAGCAGGTTTGATAATGTTATGAGTGCCATAGATGGCTAGTGGCTTGAATATTTTAGTTGGTTTTCAATGTAGCGTTGTCGAAAACTTGTTATGTATCAATGCAAAATAAATGGTTTCTTCAAATTTAGTAGATATTAGTATTTTCTTATTCCATATTACACTTGGTGTTGTACTTGTAGAACATCTAAGATCTTCCTAAAGAATCCTCTGTCCGTATCAAGTGATTTTTTTTCTGATGCAGTTTCTTTGTTCTGGAGAAGACTGCTTGATTTTGTTTATCTGCTTATGTTTTATTATGCTTTTTTTTTTAATTTTCTCATACAGTCATACTGTAGTATGGATTCTCATTGGATATTGGTTTAGTTTGACTTACTTTTGATGATCCAGGAAATATAATTCAGAAAATTTATGTATTTAGTAGCAAATTTGTGTCAGGTTAAATTATGATTGACATTAAAAACGCATTTTTAGTAAACAATTTATATTATCAAATCAAATCATGACCAGAATTAAAAAAAAAAAATCTAATATGACAAAACAAGCAAATGTTTGCAGATAAGTGTTGATAATTATTCAAAAATTTAGGGATCTGGGGTTCATTTTAAATGTGTCAACTTACATCCATAAAAAATGTGAAACTATAGTATTTTTCTCTCTCTCTTTCCTGAAAGGTGGAATTGAGGAAAAAAGAATTGTGAAAGTAAATGCAAACTGGGAAAACATTTTTCTAAAGGAAAAAAACTAAAATAACTTGCAACTAGTTTGGTAATCTATTTGAAATAAATTCTGTTCATTTAAGAGGAAAGGTCAGAATAAATAGTTGACTTAGAATGTCTTAGCGGAATATGGATTACCGATTATTAGCTTTTGATCACCAGAATATACCTTACTGAGTTTGGGGTTAGATTGGGCTTGAGATGTATTGATGATCTTCTTTTACTGGCCAGACTATTGGTTTGTAATTATTGGGGCTTTCTTTTAGTTCTGGCCTTTGATCTCACAATTTGGCAATCCTTCTTGTAATCTAAGTTTTTTGCTTTTCTTCAATAAAATTCTTCTTATTTTTTTATCAACAATAAAATTCTCTAATATGTTAGACTGTTAGTGATATATACATAGAGCATATATACATATGCAACACCTGATCTTCAAACCATAGAAGTTCTATTTATAATTATCTGTTTTGCAATTTTTATCTTTTTCTAATTCTGGTTAGTTGTTTTAGGATTTCTATTTAGTTTGGGTTATAGGCTGCAAGGTCTCTGATTAAAACCATGTAATTGTATGACTGGATTATCTTGTTACCATTTTTGTGTTTTTGTTTTTTCTTTTCTTTTCTTTTCTTTTTTTTCTTTTTTTTTTCTTTTTTTTTTGAGGTGGGGGGGAGGCATTCTTGATGTTTTGGGGTCCCCTGTTTCTTGTCTGTTGCCACAGTCTTTTTCTCTTTTGGAGTTCCTCATTAATTTTTCTTATTTGTTGAGTCAGTAACCTAAGAATAGGAAACATGTCAAATATGTGGTAAAATTCATATAAAAATATTTTAAATGTTAGAAACATTGTGAAATCTTTGGAAATATCACAACAAATGATAAAAGAAGCATAAACAAGCATTTTAAAGTTGCCTATAAAAAAGAACATGCATTTTTAAGTTATAGTGCTATTATAAAATATCATATAAAAACAAAGAAAGTAATGTAAACAAATGTATATCCAAATGGATTTTCCTATATCTCTAAGAATCAAGCTTATAACTTCATATTAAAATCCAACTAACCAAGTACATATTTTGACAATGATTATGTAAATCCATAACACTAAATTAACTTAAGAAGTACGCAATTTTTTTATCAATAACAGAAAATTTTCATTAAGAAAAAGGGAGAGGTTAATAACTTAAGAAGTACACAGTTATTTTTATAACAAAATAATGGTAGATTTTTATAACACAATTACTGGATCAATTAGATTTTCTTCAACAGATTGAACAAGGATGGAGAGTTATTTTTAGGAAGAACAATTTTGGATCATTGGGAGGAGAATTTTACTAGAAAGATGTAGGTTTTGGACCAGGTTAGCTTCTTGAGTTGACTCAGGGATTTGGATTTGGCCAAAATATGCACATAGCATTGATTACGTCATTCTTATTATCAATCTTATGTCCAAGTGGAATTCTTGTGACTGCATTAGATCTCTTACCCATCTTATGTCAGCTCTAGATCAAGAAAAATATCATATTTCCATACAGAATGATGTCCCAATTTTTGTTTCCTAGTTTTCCTATACACCCTCCTAGTATATTACAGAAGTTCTGATCAATTGTATCAGATACAATCATACAAAGACCTATTGTTGAACTTTGAATAGTTTCTGTGCATGGTTCATCTGAGCACTGCTATTATCATAATAACTACATTCTGCTACTGTTGATTACATTTTGTGATCTTGTCTGCGTTTTGATTCTTGCTGATTATGAGATGGTTCTCATGTGCTTATGTGGCGATCGTCTTTTTTCTATTTATTTTCTGTTTTTTTTTTCCATTGCCTCCTTTTCATGTTTCATTCCACTTGAAGGTAAATGCATTCACAAATTCATATATAGTTTCTGTTCTTTCCTTGGAATTTCTTCCTGTCCCTTTTATATTCTAGAGACACGCAATTGACCCTGAAAAGTTCTGCTCTTTTTGTTAAATTATTTTATTTTTATTATTTTGATGCTAATATCAATTATTTGATTGCTATCTGTTGCTACACAGGCCAAGTTTTTGTACGGAAACAGCTTCTCTACAGAGGAAAGGCAGGAAATTAAGCTAATGATTCAGAGCAACATGTACAAATATCTCAGCATTTTACTTGAGGCACGGGAGCGTTATGAGGAGGAGGCCTTGTCTAGGATAAAAGAATTAGCATCACATGATCAATACACTTCTGCAGGTGCCATTCATTAACTGAGGATCCAGGCTTCCTTTTCTGTGATGTGTTCTTTTTGTGGACCTCGTTTCTAAGATACTTCTGTTTTCTTGAGAGGGTGTTTTTTGTGTGCTGTTACAAAATGCATGCTTGCATGTAGCGTAAGATTGGGCCAGTGAATTTTCATCAATTAGATTTTCCTGCGAATGATGAGATAGTACAAACCTACATTAATTGAATAAGATAGAAATGCCATTTGAATGTTGGAAATGGTGCAACTTGTTTTTGGAATGGAGTTCCTAACAATTGTTTAAATTATTGGATTTTATTTATTTTCTAATTTCACCAAGAATGGCCCTATTACTAACATGATTGAAATGTGTATTAAATGAGATAAATGTATGCCCTTAGGGTACCAAAAATTGCCAAAGAAAAACCAAGACAAAAAGAGGCCATTACCAGGCACATCATGCTCAAATATTATAATTAGTTAGGCATATTGAGCCACCCCAAAAGGGATCAAATCTCTCAACTCCTCTCATATGAGCTATCAGCAGTTGAATTGGCTGGTACGGGAACACATCTAAATGTGGGTCAAACTGGTGTTCAGAGCCCAAGCCTCTCTGATCTTATAATTCAGCTTCCAGGAACATGGCATCTTTCCTGTCTAGTCTACCACAATTTGGGAATTCCCCTCAATGATGGTGCCGTCATATAGCCCATGGATACAAAAAATTCAGTCCCTGTAAGAGAGATGGCGTCTCTGCTTTCATTGGGTCTCCAAACCAACAAGGCTCAATTGACTTAAAAAAAATCACTTCATCTTCTGTTCCTATAAAACCATGGTTCCCGAGGAACAACGTCAAAGTTAAGCTTAGTGGTGTTTTCACTAGAAGGCACTCTTTTTTTTCTTAACTATGTTATCTCTTATTTATCAAAGGTAGGTTAATTAGTCTTATTTTTTAGATAAAATGGTTGGATCAGGTTAATTAATGTCATCATAATTGGACTGCTACAGTTATTGATGTGCAGTCCTTTGTAATTCCTATTTTTTGTTGAAATCAGAAAGAAATCCTAACTGATTTTGTTTGAAATTATTTCAGGTGAGGGAGAAGATGAATCCAATCAAACCAATCAATGCATCTATTCCATCAATCCAAGATTGAAGCATTTTTCTGACTGGCTTTTAGACATCATAGCCATGGGAGACTTGGATGCATTCTTCCCTGCAGCAACACGTGAATATGCACCGCTAGTTGAAGAAGTGTGGAAAGATCCTGCCATACAGGAAATATATAAGATGAAAAATGAGCTTCACTTTCTACCTGATGTTGCGGAATATTTCTTAAGCCGGGTACCTATTTAATATATGTTGTAGTAAACTCTCCATTCTCTTGTCTGATTATTTACATGAATATATTGTGCTGAATCTACTGATGAAAAAGAAAAGGTCTCTCAACCTGTGATACCCGGATAACTAGTGTACTAGTGTTGGACACATTTAGATATATTCTATAGCATTAACATTTCTAAAATATGTATGAATCTTTCTATTCAATTATGAAAAAAAAAACATTTCTAAAGTATGTAAAATGATATTTTTTGGCAAATCATATTTAAAAATGTATATATAAGAAATTTAATAAAATTAGGGAAAACATAAGTCTTCAGAAATGGCACTTAGATTAAAGAAACTAGATATAGAAGCATGATGTAATCACATTAGATGGAATACCCTTACCTGTATTCGTGTCTAGCTTGTCTAAATGGAGTGCTACTGTTTCCCATATCTATGCCCATTCAGTTTCCATTATCTGGGCATCATAGTTTTTTTTTTTTTTTTTTTTTATCAATAATCTAGGCATCATAGTTCTCAACATTTTTTTGTATTTTCAAGTTTTCCATGCATCTTTTCCAAAGGAGGTACCCTTCTTCCATACCCAGTAACATGAATTACCTTGTGGTAAAGCCATCAGTTCAGCCTGGGTTGAAAATTCTCCTTTTTGGTGGAGAAGAATCAATTACCAAAAAGCTCACTTACCTCTCCACGGGAGTCTACCCGGCACCAAAAAAAGAGAAAAAACCCCGAAATGCAAGTAACTATACTCCATGCATTCAATACTTGTTGGTTCATGTGTTTGATATTTTTCATTATTTGTTTCTATCAGTAGGATTGATTTATCAACTTTGATTTTTCAAATCCACTCTAGATAACCTCCCAGTCTATTTTATGTCATTCTTCAAGATGCCTCAGGCAATAGTAGAAGAATTGAGAAACTCATGAGGGATTTCCTTTGGGAACTAGGGGAGGGGAAGAAAGATCATTTGGTGAGATGGAAAAAAGTGGTTGAGGAAGGATGTTGGGGATTGCCAATGCCAGCTTGAAAAACGAGGCCCTCTTAAGCATGGGGTTGGTGCTTTCCTGTGGAAAATGAGAGATTATGGCATGGAGTGGTGGCTAGTATTCACGGGCTGTCAAGTAATGGTTGGGATGCTGATTATCTGCAAAGAAATACTCTAGTTGCATCTTGGAAAGCAATTCATGCTTTGCTTCCCTCTTTCCTTAATTGTGTGAGGTATGACTTGGCTTCTAGTAGTAAGCTAAGGTTCTGGGAAGATATGTGTGTAGGTTGTTTTCAGGCCTGAGATATTAGAGGAGAGGAAGAGAGGAAGGAGGAAGAAGAGGAAGAGAGAAGAGAGGAGAGAAGAGAGAAGAACGTTTAGATTCAAAACTTGGAGCTGGCAGCTCCAGCTCTCTTTACTTTTTATATTAGGGCGACCCAACTTAAAATAAAAGATGTGCAAAATTACAAGATTGCCCCTACGGCACTAAAGAACAGAAAAATATAAAAAACTGCTAGGAGAACTAGCGGATTTCAACACTCCCCCTCAAGTTGGGACATAGATATCAATCATGCCCAACTTGTCACATAAATCATTGTGCCACGGATGATGTAACCCCTTGGTAAAGATGTCTGAAAGTTGATCTGTGGAGCTGACATATGGAGTGCACACTTCCCCATTTATAATTTTTTCCCTTATAAAGTGCTTGTCAAACCTCAATATGTTTAGTTCTATCATGAAGTACTGGGTTGGCAACAATGTTGATAGCAGCTTTGTTATCACAATACAAGGATATGGGGCCATCAACAGGAAGTCCCAACTCATTCAACAAGTTCTTTATCCACATAACTTAAGCCACTCCATGGGACATTGCTCTATATTCAACTTCAGCACTAGACCTTGCCACAACATTCTATTTCTTGCTTCTCCACGTGATTAGGCTTCCTCCCACAAAGGTACAATACCCACTAGTAGACTTTCCGTCATCAACTGATCCGGCCTAGTTAGCATCAATATACACCTCAACTTTTAAGTGACCATTCTTCTGGAAAAGTAAACCAGCCCCTGGGAACTTCTTTAGGTGCCTAAGGATTCTATCAGCTACCTCTAAGTGTGTAGTCTTAGGAGCATGCATGAATTGGCTAAGAACACCCACAGCATAAGCAATGTCCAGCCGTGTCATAGACAAATATAATAGTTTGCCCACAAGTCTGGAATTGTTTTACATCCTTGATAGTCTCACCCTGACAATCACCCAATCTATGGTTTGGATCAATGGGGGAGTCAGCAAGCTTGACTCCAAGTTTTCCTGTATCCTGTAATAAATCTAGGATGTATTTTCTTTGAGAAATGAAGATCCCCCTTTTTGAACGAGTCACTTCAATTCCAAGAAAATACTTCAAGGGCCCTAGATCTTTCACCTTAAACTGAGTGGAGAGAAACTCCTTTAGTCTCTGAATTTCCACCTTCCAGTCGCTTGTGATCACTATGTCATCAACATACACTATCAAGGCTGCAAATTTTCCCTCTCCTTTTTTCACAAATAATGTATGACTGGTCTGACACTGTTTATAACCAATCTGTTGAATGGCTAGATGAAACATGCTAAACCAAGCTCTCAGTGATTGTTTTAGTCCGTACAAGGACTTCTTTAATCTACACACCTTTTTTTCTTGGTTTTGAGCATAGAAACCATGAGGTTGCACCATGTACACCTCCTCTTCAAGATCACCATTCAGGAAGGCATTTTTAATATCTAACTGGTGGAGATCCCAATCAAGGTTAGTAGTAAGAGAAAAAAGAACTCTGATGGAATTCGACTTAGCAATCGGAGCAAATGTCTCTGCATAATCTACTCCATACACCTAAGTAAACCCTTTCGCCACCAACCGAGCTTTATACCTTTCTACTGTACCATTAGCCCTATGTTTTACTGCAAAAACCCACTTGCACCCTATCGGTTCCTTTCCCATAGGAAGATCCACTAATTCCCATGTACCATTTTTATGTAATGCATCATTTTCTTCTTTCATTGCATCTGTCCATTCAGGTACTGAAAGAGCTTTTGCCAAATTTTTTGGGATAGGGACATTGCCAATGGAAGAGAGAAAAGCACAAAAAGAGGATGAGATGTTCTCATATGAGATAAAGTGGGAGATAGGATGTTTGGTGGTACAGGACCTAACTCCCTTTGTGCAATAGGGATGTTGAGGTCATTGGCAGAAGAAGAACCAATGGCAATAGGATCAGAAATGTCAACAGGAATAATGGTACCTGGTGGGATGGGATCTGTCCCCGGTGAATCTGATGATGTTGGCGGTACAGTTTCAAGTTGATCCACAGCTTTTGAACCCGATTGGCCCTTGTGGCGACGGAGGAAGACACGAAACGGAGGAGGGTCGAGTAGAGGAGGTAGCACTTGAAATTGTTTCTCCTCCACCCTATTCTCCCTCTGAGGAGAAACCGGATAGAAAGGATCACTCTCAAAGAAAGACACATCCATAGAAACATAGTATTTTTCGAGAAACAGGATCGAAACAATGGTAACCCTTTTGAGAAGACGAATAGCCCAAGAAGACACAAGGGAGAGCACGAAGGTCAAGCTTACCACAAGTTGGACATAAGTTTTGAACAAAGCAACGACAACCAAACATCTGAATGGGAATAGAGAAAAGGGGGGCTTTAGGGAATAGCAGTTGATGAGGGGCCTTGTACCCTAACACCCGAGATGGCATATGGTTGATGAGATAGGTAACACATAATACAACATCCAACCAAAAACGTTTTGGAACACTCATATGGATGGGTAACCCACAAGCCACTTCAAGTAGATGGCAGTTTTTTCTTTCTGCAACACCATTTTGTGAGGAGTTTTGGCACAAGAGCTACAGTGGATAGACCCACATGAAGCAAAGAACTCCGTGAGATTACTGTGGAAGTATTCTTTGGCATTGTCAGACTGGAAATTTGGATCACTGTCTGAAATTGGGTGAATATCATGTGTTGGAAGTCTTTTACAATTTTTGGTACTTCATCCCTGGACCGCATGGGGTACACCCATGTACGAGAATAGTCATCAATAAAAGTAATGAAATATTTATAGCCAAGCTCAAATGGTAAAGTAACAGGGCTCCAAACATCAGAATAAACAATATGGAAAGGAAAATCAGATTTTGTATTTCTTGAAGTAAAATGATTTCTACAATGTTTGCTCAACTGACAAGTTTGACATTTGAACTCAGACATTGGCACTGATTTAAATAAATCCGGAAGTAAGACTTTTAGCGACTCAAAAGATAAATGACCCAAACGATTATGCCATAAATAAACTTGACTCATACTAAACTGACTTATAGACTCAATGGCCGCAAGACTAGCTTTGTTCTCCAGCATGTAGAGGCCATCCACCATACGGCCTCTACCAATCATCTTCCCCGAGTCCAAATCCTGTACAACACAAGAAGAAGGGAAAAAGGTCACTAAACAATTTAAAGAATTTGTAATGCTACTAACAGAAAACAAGTTTATAGGTAATTTCGGGAAATGTAATGCATTAGAAAGGGTAAGTCCAAAAGGAAGGGTCATGGTTCCTTTACCAGCTATAGTGGAAAAAGAAGCATCAACTAATCTCACTTTGTCCCTACCAGATAAAAGTTGATAGGACTGAAAACAATTTGACTTAACTGTCATATGGTTTGAGGCTCCAAAGTCAATTATCCAAGGGRAGTCAGGTGAACGGGAAGACACATGGAAGGTTGTGGCAATAATACCCTTACCTGAAGTAGATGCAAAAGAAGTCAAGGCAGGAGGAGCAGAATCCATCTGACGAATTGCTTTCCCATACAGATCCAAGTGGTCATGGAAAGAATTAATGATATCTTCTCGGGGACCGGCAATGGATGGGTGGTCCTGGTGAATAGCAGTAGATGACAAAGGCTCCTGAGAGGCCAAGTTTGTTGTATTAAACCGTTTTTGACTTTGTTGTCCCGACTTCTTATTCTGATCTGATTTCTTACTCAGCTCTTGGGCCCACTTTGGTTTTCCATGGAGGTCCCAACAAGTATCTCGGGTATGTTTGGCCTTCTGGCCATGAGTACACCACAACTTATCCTTATCATCCACTTTCTTTTGGGAGTCACCCTTCTTAAAGGAATTATTGCTTCCTGCACCTATACTCCCTTTAGTAGGGGTGTCCACAGTTCGGTTAACCAAACCATGGCACTTTTTTGTAAATCAAACTGGTGGTACCGGTTTTTCCAATTCTCCAAACCGAAACCGAACTGGTACCACCGGTTAACTGGTGGTACCGGTTAACCGGTCCACCGGTTTTGGTTTTTGACCGGTTCGGTTCTTCGGTTTTTCGGTTTTTTATATTTATAATATATATTATACAAATATATGGATAATATTATATAATAAATAATATATATAATATATTTATAAATAGATCATTATAAATATAATATAAGTATATATTTATTTATATATAATGAATATATATTTATATATAATACATAGAAAATATGTAACATATATTAAAAATATACATAGAAACATATATACCGGTCAGTTCGGTTAACCGTCGATTTTTTTGTAGGTTAACCGAAAATCGAACCGGTCCTTCGGTTTTTCAAAAATCCCAAACCAAAACCGAACTGATCGGTTCGGTTAATCACATTTTGCGGTTCGATTTTCTCGGTTCGATTTGGTTTTTTGGTTTTTTATGGACACCCCTACCCTTTAGCCACTAAGGCAATCTGCTCCCCCTCAGAGCTATTCATCACACTGCGCCTACTCTCTTTGGACTGTACTAGAGCATATACTTCTTGCACTGAAGAAAGATCCTTACTTCCTAATATTTGAACTATGAGGGACTCATATATGGGGTTCAGCCCCAAGAGGAAGGCAAAGACCCGTTGTTGGGAAACCAGAGCCTTGTATGCTTTAGCATCAGCATCACACTTTCAATCAATGTTCTAATAGTGATCTAGTTCCTTCCAGATTGAGGTCAAATCTGAATAGTAGGCTGAGAGCATCCTCTCCCCCTGCTTACAAGTAGATGAGGCAACTTGCAACTAGTATATTTTGGCATAGTGGCATTGCTCTGAATAGGTAGATTTTGCCTGCTCTCAAATCTCAACAGCTGTTTCAGCCCACATGAAAGTCTTCCTGACTGGAGGCAAGATAGACAGTAACAGCCATGACATCACCATGCCTGATCCCACCTATCATGTTCTGCCCCCTGAGACTTTGGTTCTTTAGTTTTACCATTAATATAGCCTACCTTTCCCCTGGCTGTTATGTATAGTTTGATTCTCCTTGACCATTTCTAGGTAGTTAAGACCATCAAATGGTATCACAGCCATGGGAAAACTCATGTCAAGTCCTCCACTCACTCCACCTTGACTTGGGGACCCACTAGACAGAATAGAATCTTCAGAAGACATATTATAAGATTTAGGTTTCCAGATCAGGTCTGTTCAAAGAAGGTTACAGTTCAGTCACTGTTCAATTTCAGTTCAGTCAGTTCAGTCACAATTCAGTTTACAGTTCAATCGAAGTTCAGTCCCCAGTTCAGTCGAAGTTCAAACTATAATTCAGTTCAGTCACAGTTCAGTCCCCAGTTCAGTCAAAGTTCAAACCCTAATTCAGTTCAACCACAGTTCAGTCAAAGTTCAAACCCTAATTCAGTTCAACCACAGTTCAGTCAAGGTTCAGCCACAATTACAGTTCAGTCCCCAATTCTACAGTTCAGTCACAGCCACAGTTACAGTTCAGTCAAGGTAGCCGACCACTGTCTTATAGTTCCAGGTCATTTTGACCTACACCGCCCAGTTGACTGGGTAAAAAAAATAGGATCACACGATCCAAAGTTCAAGGGAACTTAGCAGTTTCAGGTCATCTAGACCTCCAAAAAAAACACTTACCTGGGTACAAGAGAGGACCACTCAATCCTCAGAAGATAGATTTATCTTCGCAGCATCAGATTCTTCCTTCCTTTTAAGGGTTTCTTGGCACATGGCCAAGGAAGAAGAAGAGAAGATAAACGGAAACCCCTTCAGATCAGTCCGATCTGCTTCTTGATCAGATTCGATCCACAGCAAGAGGAGTCCCAAAAAAGAAAGAAACCTTGTCGCACTTTTTCTGATCTCAGAAGGCCTTATCTGATACCATGTTTTCAGGCCTGAGATATCAGAGGAGAGGAAGAGAGGAAGAAGAGGAAGAGAGAAGAGAGAAGAACATTTAGATTCAAAACTTGGAGCTGGCGGCTCCAGCTCTCTTTACTTTTTTATAGTAGGGCGACCCAACTTAAAATAAAAGATGTGCGAAATTACAAGATCGCCCGTGGCACTAAAGAACAGAAAAAAAAAAAAAACTGCTAGGAGAACTAGTGGATTTCGAATCCCCTTTGAAAGATGTCTTTCCTTTTTTTTTCTTTCAAATCTCAAAGGTAGACATGTGGCCGATTTTTACAACTTCACCTATCTTCTTCAAGATTGAATTGGAATTTGGGTTTCACTAGGAATCTTAGAGAGTCAAAAATTCCCTTAGTGTCTAACTTGTTGAGTGTCTTGGAGTTTGTAGTCCTTGTTGATGATGGGAGAGATGCACGGTGGTGGTCCCTTAACCTCAATGGGAAGTTTTCTTGTAAATCCTGTTATAACTCCCTTGTTTCCACTTCCTCTCCCCCCCAATTTCCCGGTAAAAGAAATTGGTGCTTCCCCATTCCTCCAAAGGTCGGTGCATTTTGCTGGGAAGTGTTCCATGGGATTAATACTTGTGATTTGCTACAATTGAAAATACCAAATTGGGCCTTGGCCCCAATTGGTGCTTCTTGTGTAAATTGAATGGTGAGACTGTCTTCCACCTTTTAATCTCCTGTCCCTTCGTTTGCTGTATTTGGGAAGGGTTTTCTTCTCCTTTTTGTTGCAGGTGGAACCCTCCCGCCAATTTGGATGGGCTGTTCAGCCCTTCTGTTTTGAAAAGCACAAAAAAAGGGTAGAATTTTGTGGAGAACAAGGACAGCGGTGATTTGGACAGTGTGGGAAGATAGAAATACAAGAATTTTTCGGGAGAAGGAGAGAAGCTTGGAGGTAGTGATTGAATTCATTACTCTTAAAGTTGCACATTGGGTGAAAACCTTGAAACTTTTTTCGGACTTTAAAGTGGAGGACTTTTTCGGAATTGGGGGGCAATTGCTGGCTCATCCTCTAGGAAACAAAAATCTCTAGAGGTTTGGTCACCCCTAGTGGCTGGTTGTAGATGCGGTATTTTAGGAAACCTGGAAGGAGGAAGAAATAGCAAGTTTTTTTGGAGGTGTGGAGCATCATGTACAAAGAATTTATAAGGATATTGATCTATCTTGATAGCCTAGGTTATAGTGCTTGAATTTGACAATGAAAAACCACATTCACTGGGATTTTGAAGGAGATTGTGAAGCATTGATTCATACTTTCTGTATAATATATATTTCTCTTTTTTGTTTTTTTGTTTTTTTGTTTTTTTGTATGCATTTCTTAGTGTTTGGAGGACAACTCATCCTTTTATGATTTTCATCTTTTCATTTAGATGAAAGTTTGCCATTATCTATCAAAAAAGGAAAGAAATATTATGATTAGTGTGGCTATAGACAAAGGTGCTGGATTCACAATGCCCTGTGGTTTTTGGCTGGAATTTTGAGTCCATGAAACTCCAGGGAACCAACAATAATTACATAAAATGACATCCATTTGACATCTTATTAATCACAATTCACATGGATGTTTTATTCAGTTTCATGTGGGATCTGGATATATAAATATGATTCATTGGTTTACTGAATCACTATTGGTTTCTTCTTATTTGTCTCAGGCTGTTGAGGTGTCAAGCAATGAATATGAACCAGATGATAGAGACATCCTGTATGCTGAAGGAGTTACACAAGGAAATGGTTTGGCTTTCATTGAATTTTCTCTTGATGATCGCAGCCCAATGTCTGAAACTTACACCGACAATCCAGAAGCTCCACCAGCTCTCACCAAGTAAACCTCTTCTTTTTCCATCCTTCTTAGTCGTCAATGGCACTGAAAAATAGCAATTAATTTCTAGCAAGTTTTCTCTACTAAGAAATACTCCTACCCTGTCATGTCACTGTACATGAAGATACCCTGAACCTCTCATAAAGTTCCATAGTTCCATTTGAGATCATCCTTTGTCCCTAACATGTTTGGTTCCCCATGTATGATATATCTTGGTCCAATAGTTGGTCACTTWTATTTATCAAAAAAAAAAAGTTGGTCACTTTTCAAATTTATAGAATTTTTTTTTCAACTATTACAGTGAAATATGATAAATGATCTAGAGTTTTCGATAAACAGGTGGTAAACAAGGCCAGAAATGAAAGTTCAATGAGCCTTTTTCTATCAACAGTTTAAAATAATAATCTATCATATTGATATTATAAAAGCAATTATATAGAAATAGATACAATGGTAACATTGTGAGGGGTGATGACCTGCTAAACCTGGTTACAGCCTTCTTTTACTCTGACCCTAGTGGTAGTAATGGTTCAAAGTTTCATCATGTATTGGGGCATATCATATTGTATCAACCCCGCCCCAATACGCTAAATATTAAATATTTTATATTTTTAATATTTTCAGGGGTAGACCTTGCTAAGATCGATCCCCCTGTAAAATTTTGAAAAGAAAAACTTAGAAAAAGGAAGTGTGTGATTCAAACCCCCAATATGCATGTGCATATCGGGGTGTATCAATACTTTGAACCATGGTGGTAGTCAGTACCAATACCCTCGCATCTATGCCACTTGTAGGAAAAGCAATTCTCTTGTCCTTGTAGTGCTACTGCTATCTACTATTTGCTAAACTGAAAGTACTAGATCTTACATCTAACATTACCCTAATTATCTTTTTTTTTCTCTCCAGATACCAACTAATTAGGATAAACGCCAAGGGGATGAGTGAAGGGTGCAAGTGGGTGGAAATGTTCGAGGACGTCCGTACAGTGATCTTCTGTGTGGCACTAAGTGACTATGACCAGGTATGGGTTGCCCCTGAAAACGGTGCCGGTGGAACTCATGTTCAGAATAAGATGATGCAAAGCAAGGAGCTCTTTGAGGCCATGGTCAAACACCCATGCTTTAGGGACACACCTTTTGTTCTAATACTGAACAAGTATGATTCGTTTGAAGAGAAAGTCAATAGGGTAGCATTGAGTGCTTGCGAGTGGTTCAATGACTTCAGCCCTGTCAGACCGCATCATAATAACCCATCACTGGCCCACCAGGCTTACTTTTATATTGCAATGAAGTTCAAGGATTTATATGCATCTCTTACCAACCAGAAGCTGTTTGTGTGGCAATCGAAGGCCAGGGACCGTGTGATCATTGACGAAGCATTCAAGTATGTAAGAGAAGTGCTGAAATGGGATGAAGAGAAAGATGAGAACTATTTTGGTGCTGGGGAAGACTCATTCTACAGTACAGACATGAGTTCCTCACCATTTGTAAGACAGGAATAATGGTGAATGTATTTGTGCTTTTCTTGCATATGCACTGCAACAATGGTGCTTTGCTGTATAAATATTAAAATGAGCTTGTCTCCTTCCCAGCTGAAAGTAAAGGTGCCCCACAAACTACGTCTATATTTGCATTGCACAGCAAATCATAAATTCGAATTCCCACACAAATGTGTTAGCAAATCTCCTCCATTGTACTGCTTTTTTATAAGCTTACCTGTGTTCCCACTTCCCACATGTATCCTGAATTCTAATACCCTTAAAGGAATTGCCTTCTCGAAAATTCTACGAGAAGGATAATCTGAACTTTGGGTGCAGTGACGCAGGTATTCTGTATTTACTTCAATCCAACCCAATCGAGTGAAAAAGCAGCTGGAGAGATCCATGTAATTTTGAATCCAATGGCATCATATACCAGCTTACACATTTCTAGTTGCCATTTCTCTGTTCTTAGGCAAAGACGAGCAAATCTTGGTTCATTAGTTTTCTAACCTAGTAAGGCAATAACTAATACAACGTGCATCTCGGTCAAATGGTGGTTGGACATTGCTGTTTGGTCCAAAATTGGCCCAAGCATTTAAGTGAACAACACGGGTAGCACAACATGTCACATTGGGTTGGCATTTTTTATTTTTTACATCACAAGATAGACACGGAGCTTACGTGATTTGAGTTCAGAAATACCACCTTAATCAGGAAGTGACAACCTCTATTGGCAATTGGCAAAGCATTAGCAATTTTATCCGAGCAAAACAACATCGCACGCTCAGAGCTAATCAACGGTTTGGGGGATATGAATCGGCAATGTTCTTCATCCAATGTAATAATACCGAAAAGTGTAGGAACTTGGAACATATAAATTTAAGCATCATTCATTAGAATAAAGATAGATATTTTCTGAAAGCACTACTCAACATGTCTCTTAATCATGCCCTCGTGAATCCAACTCCGAAGAATAAAAAAAATACAAGACATTAGGCTGCACCTTCCAAAAAATGATTCAAGAAAGATTAGCCAAAAATGTAAGTGCCTTGAGTCCAACAAGCAACTAGCATTTCCCCTTTCATTTTTTCTTTCACCTTTTCAGGGTGCCACATTGATACAAGCATAAAAAAGATACTAGCAACATACAATCACGACGCCACTAGGTCAGGTGTTTCCGCCTCAACAGACAACAAAGCAGTATGAACTTTGTCCAACCAGTTGTCCAGACGGTCACGCAAGGATTTGATCTGGGGTATCCCCAAAACCCTTGGTTGCACCCAAGAAACGTGAACCGTTCCCTCAACTTGATCAATTATCCCCTCAATAAGATGAACCTGCAAATGAAATTCTTGAGTTAACTAAACAAGAAAGCTTCCAAAGCATGTCAAATATCACCCAAATATAGAAGGATGATAACGGCTACTTTGTAATTGCAGAATGCAGACTAATCGTTTCTAGATCAATGCATGACCAAGTCTTTGTTTGAAAACTTGAATACAAGTAAAAACACTCAATCATGTTATAACCTTGTACTTTGTAATTGCAGGGCATGTTGTCAAGTTCTAACCTTGTACTGCATTTTTTTATATTACTTCTGCTAACTTCCATCTCATTCTCAGTGGCTCAATGCAGGCAGGCATATGGAAGATGCATATCAAGCAATTAGATTTACTTTGACAAAAAGATTTCAGTTTGTTATAAACTGAATACATAAATATAAACCACCAAGCCCTCTAAAAGAACAAAGGATATTTCCAATTATTATATCACAATAAAAAAAAAAACATTTTCCAACATCATGTTTCTCCGCTTCATTTCTCATTCAGTTCTCGAGCAATTATTATTTTGGTGTCAATATTAAATTAACACACTTAAGAGACTGCTAACCATCCTTTTCATCCATTGGCCCAATAGTACCAGAATTTTAGTATTTTTCCTAAGGCTCCGTTTGTTTGCGATACAAATGCCGAACCGGGGTATTTATGTACTCTGAGAAGAGAGAATTATTTTTTTTTTTATCAATAACACTTTCATTAATCATCAGTAGAAAATTTATAGGAGGAAGATAAACACACTTATCTTCCAAGAGTCRCTAARAGCCTCRTAAAAGAAAGAAAAAAGAAGAAAAAGAGAAAAGAATACACTAAAGTTACATCTTGGCCCAAAACAGTGAATTCCTTTCTGCCCCTTATTTAGCTAAACCATCAGCTAGGGAATTAGCCAATCTTTTAACCCAACATGTCTTAACTTCCATCTCCCGC